CGGCTAAAGTGTGTGTCGCCGATAGTTTTTTTTGCCACTCGGAAAAATGAGCGCGGAAATTAACGTTTCCGGAGTTTTTAATTAATATCTCGGCCGATTAATGTCGTACGAAGATGGGAACGATATCGATCGATTCGGAGAATTTTTTGAATCTTAGGGTTTGCGTCTCGAATTTCAACTCGGCGCTGTTCTGTAGATATTCGAGAAAACAGAATTTGGCACGTAGCCAAATATCTCTAATAGGGAAAACCCAAGAAAGAAAGTGGAAAATGTAGTGGAAAATTAGTTTATAATTAATATCTCGGCTAATTAAAGTCCCTACAAGACACGAATGGTGAAAATGGCGTGTCACGGACTTGCGCAATCCAACGGTGCTCTTCGCTAGGCCCGGGAGCCAGCCGTTTCGGAGGAAATGATGTTACTTCACCCCATATATATATATATAATAATTTATTTCCTAAACAGTATTGATTAAGCAATTGCGCAAGTAATAATAACTTTTATTCGCAGTAAATGGATTTAAGATCATACAACATTATATATATATATATATATATATATATATATACGGCTTAAGTGCCTGTTTGTCGCCGATAGTTTATTGGTTGTTTGCGTAACTGTACTAACCAACGGGGTGAAGTAGCTACGGCACAGGGTTGCCGTTTTAATTGAGATATAGACAATTTCCTGTAAAACTTGCTTTTGCTATAACCATCAATAAATCTCAGGGCCAAACGCTTAAGCGTGTTGGCATTTTTTTACCTGAACCTGCATTTGGACACAGTTAACTTTATGTTGCCTGTTCAAGTGTTCGTGAAAGAACGGACGTAAAATTAAAAGTATTGGATGGTCCTCTGCAATGCGAGCTTAAAAATGATGGAAAGATCTACACAAGAAATGTTGTGTACAAAGAGATCTTTGACATGTGAATTAACATTTCATTATTTAAATCCATTATTGATTGAGCTAGTGGTGGGATCTTAAGAAATGTACCGCCAGTGGTTTCCTTCATTGTACTCTAATTTAAGCAAGTAGAAGGGGGAAACCCCGTGGGGCAGTAAGCAAAGGGGCGTCCTCGCCGCCTGCCCTGAGTAATTCAGTTTAAATTAGCAGAGACCTTTTCAAAAATCATTTTAATTACAATTTATAATATCTAGAACAGTGGTGATTTCGTATGACCGCTGGGCTTTCTAGTTTTTAATATAAACTGTGTATTTCTGAATGTATAATATCTACCGGCACTGAAGTCATCTATATAAATGTGTATAAATTTAGTTAGTTTATTATCAGGTTTAAAAGACTAAGCAGAGTACCAAATTTACGCACTGAAATTTTTAATTATTAATGAATAATTGCTATTACAATGGCATGATTCAGTACGTGTTGCGCCCGAGGTGAAAAAATTCGCTGGTACATTAAGATAAAAATAACAGGGGAAAGAAATAAAACATGCTAATAATAGAAAATAAAAGATAAATTAAAAAAGGGGTGTTCAAACTCAGGATGGCGCAAAGGGACATTTTAAGTTGAACAGCGCTAATTAGCAACAAGAGACAGTATGACAAATGCTAAGCGTAAAATATAAACAGAAGCACATGAACATTGAAATTCAAGTCGCCTATAGAGGGAGTCATAGCAATTCTGATCCTCCCGTTACCCGGTCCTGACATTACATCATCATGCGCCCTTCGGGCTGAAGTCTTATGAGCCGGATACGTTGCGTTCCAACAGCAATACCCCGGCAACAGTGATAATGAATGAATGAATAGAATCATTATACTGTTCAAATCATAGAGCTGTAATGTACTAGAGAGAGAAACGGCAACCCTGAAGGGGAACAGGAATACGAACCACGTGACATTTGGTACATTTCCCAGATCGTATTTCCCGCGAATCTTCCTTACCATTACAGTTCTATGGAGAATTTGTGAGAAGCAAGTGTTTTGCGTGTAACCACATTGTTTCGGACTTCAAAAATGATACTTTCGTGCTCCGCATATGGATGTAATTCCAGATATGTGAAAGATGGAGGAGTAACATTTCACAACTGAGCTTTTTCTAATGTTTTAAAACCTAATTTTATAAAATGTAGAGGTTTTTTTTTTTTATCCACTCTACTTGCCTTTTTCTAATAAAAAATAGATTTTCTAATTTTATATAATATATGCATACTTGAAATAACATTTAAATAAAAGTATCTTAATATATATGTATGTTTCTAATAACTGTTTTCTGAAAAAAATGTTAAAATTTTAGTAATACAATATAATTTTAATTAGTCTAGTATTCTGCTTTGGCGACAATTTTTATACGCCAACAGACTGCTTTGAATGCGTTTGTTTATATATTCTTTGCGTTTGCTCATGCGGACATGTGCGAAGTAGTAATGTATGTATTTAATACTTGGTAATGTTGATGTAACACTGTGTAAGAACTGCGTAAAATTATGTTTTTTTTGGGGGGGGGGCATGAATGACTTTATTTATATCCTTTTCTTGCATCCAAATATAACAAATTTGTTTACCTTCAATCACGTATTTTCTTTCTTATATCATGTTTCTGGCATTTATTCAAATATTAATAATTTGTTAAGTATTAAGAAAATAGCAATTATATAGCAGTTAAATTTCAAAACTTTAATAGTTTTTAAGTTTCTTTTTAAAAATAATGAACATTATTTAAATTTTACCTTCTAAAATTATTTAAAATAAGTGCGACTACATTGTGCAACGTGCATAATATATATATATTATATATATATTTGCTAGTAAAAGGAAGTCTTAATTTACCACCTTTTTGTTTCATAATTTAATTATTTACCACTCTCTCTCTTCCTTTTAACTTATATCTGCTATACTGACATTCATCTTTAGTTCATTTTATTTAATATCTTTCTCATTTTGATTTGCCTACTTTGTAGTTCTCTGTAATACACCGTATTAACACTAAATTTCCTTTTCGTATTAACATTAAATTTCCTTTTCGTATTAATATTAAATTTCCTTTTTATACTATTTTCTGTTTTCACTCATTCTTCTTATGTTATCTTTTTTTTTTTTTTTAATTCTGTCCTGAGTACTAAAAAGCCTTCTTTTTTATTTATTATTTTACTTATTTATTTTTTAGTTTGCTATTAGTTTATTATTTATTATTTAGTTTTTATTAGTTATTAGTTTATTATTTAGTTTGTTCTCTCCAGTTTTTTAATTTTATTTAAATTTGGTAGACGCCGATGGACATATTGCAAAATATTATTCTACAGCATGAAAATTATTTAAATTTTAAAAATTAAAATTTAAAATAAAGTTAAATTTTAAAATAAAGTGTTCAATTTTAGGGAAATTATTAATTTTGGCTGGTGTTTATCGATCTAACCTCTTCTGCAAATTCAACGGCAGCTTCTGCGAAATGACGTCTTTCCAAGTTCGCATTTCGAACTGAGAGAAAAGAGAGAAAAAAATTGCCAGCCATGGCGATAGTACGCCAAAGTCTGGATTCAGTTCCATTTCATGCCCAAACTCCTGCAGCTCATTCCTGTGCCACTTTTTCACCCGGTTTTGAATGGCGATGCTCCGTCTAGTATATAACAGGTCTATGGTTCAAATGTCCCAGGAGTGACGGTCAAGACCTAGGGAAAAATAATGGCGACCAAGTTACAATATTTGAGAGTCATAAACAAATCACCAGTCACATTGAATATAACCATTAGAATTGTCAGAATAGAGCATAGCGAGTGACAAATGAAAGGAGGTTAAATTGAGTACCTTGCCAGTATTGATGCTTTGATATAAATATAAAATAAAAAAATAAAATACAAAAGGCATTGACTGAGGAACTTAGAAAATAACGATACTGTAACACACTGACCACAAAACGTACTTAATGAATAGTGAATGCAAAACAAATTACACAGAGATAAATTTGGTATACAAATGAAGCTTGAGACTTTGCGCATACACTACTGTAAAAATCAGTTTTCGATTATTAACTATTACAAGACATCCGAGCTTAAAACGGGAGCTGATAGCAGGCGTCGTTCACTAACATTGACTTTCAGAAGAACTGACTGCCCTTTGCCTCCTGGAATTCCAGACCTAACGATTATTGATGCTTTTCTGTTGGAAACGTTAAAACAAGAAAATGTTTCAAGCTCATCCCATGAATTGTGGAACAGCTTCATGTGAACATTCAGTAAATAATTCAGGATATAAGCTCTGAACAGTGTTTTTGTATATTGACAGCAATCATAGAATGTGCATATCCATATACTTGTACTTATGAATGATTGACGGCACGTAGAACATGTCATTAAGCGATAAGCATAAATAAACTAAAGATATTAGATTTCGGTTACACTTTTTTCCCACCATGTATTAACAATTCAAGAAGCTTTGATTTTAAAGCAGAATCCATAGACTATAGTAAGGAATTAGAGTATTGCTGAGTACATTCTTTCGTGGTGTGATTGGCTAGCACATAAAAGATCCAAGGTACAGATCACAATGCAATAAATCTTTCATTTTCCTGGCTTTTTAAAATCTAGACTGTATAGTGGCTCTCAAACAAAAATGTGTTAGATTATAATTTATCATCGCTTAGATTTTGTTGATGGGGTCTCTTGCCTCTCCACAGTCGCCATATAAGTAGAGAAAATGGAAGAAACTAGTGCCTTCTATCGCACAAGCCTTAGTAGTGTAAAAGCTTAGCAATTCAGATAGAAAATGCATAATCCGTGATTCGGACCCTGGCAAGGGCTTAGATGATACGTTTTTTACGTTCTTGGCTTGCTAATGGTCTATTCAGAGACATAAAATGTAATATATATTAAAATGAGAATTGTTTATAGAAACAAGAGGAAAGTGAAATGTGATGTTAGCTTTAGGTCAGAAGTTATGAGCATTTAAAACTAATTACACATCCTTTCTTTTCTTAAAAATTAATGCACTAACGGTAAACTGCATACTTCATTCACAGCGTTCAATAAAGAATAAAACAGTCTACAAAATGTAAACATTTTTATTAAAAATGTATATATATATAATTATTTACATCGTATATTATTAACAGACATTTGTAAATTGATTCATAAAAACATTAATTGAGTCATAACAGAGTAAATTACTTTTTGCTCCAAATATTCCATGCACTGTATTAATGATACGTTCCATCAATAATATATAAATGTCCCTTTAGCTCCAGGACAGTTTTTCGCATGATTTGAAGAGACAAAACATTAATAGGTAACGCGTAAAGCGTGTTATTTAAATGAAAGTTTTTGAAGAATATGTCAAATAGTCATACGTTTTGAATTTCTTATAATAATTTAGTTACGATAAAGAAGGGGAAGTTATTTTTTCTGTTACTTACTATGCTTTGTCTTTAGTAAAGTATCATTAGTTGACAATGTTTTGTTTTACTCTCTCTCAATTATTCATCTTTGCATTCTTTAATTAGTTCTGTTCATCTCAAAAGGTTTCACCAAGCATATATCAACTATTAAAAATTTTAGCGTAACGTATAAAATCGTTGCACTCCATTCATAGTACTTTCTTTGAAAGAATGTATACATAGAAACACACATCCAGTTCCGATATCCATTTTCTCGTATCTGGTCAAAGTAAGATATAAACTGGAAAACATCAGTTACAGGGATAAAGGTTCCATATTCGTTTGGATCCATTATGTAAATGATGAATTCTGATGAATTTACTCCTGAAATTAAAATTACATATTTTAATCACTTACTAAAATATTTACATGCTAAAACCTTAGAACAAATGTTAAATTTTAAAGTGTAATCTGCAACGTTTGGTACTGAAACAGAAGAAGTAGTTTTTTATGTGTTCTGTTAAATATTTGTCACCATAAATGCTTACAGCAACGCACTTATCAATCAACAATCCTACCTAAATTAACTTATGGTTAAAAATAGTTTTCCATATTCTTTCAACTAAGCATTAATTTGATGGCTCACAAACCCATCATTAATAGAATGAATTATACTTAATATTAGTGTCAAGTAATACAAATACATATTTTATCTTTGATGAGAGCATACTATTCTGAAATGATATTTTTAAGAGAAGGCAATGTAAAGTGTTTTCAAGATGCTTTAATGACAAAAGTAGAGGGCACATTCCATCATATCTTCAGTTTTATTTACATATCGTATTCACAAATACGTGAAAGGAAATTTTCTATTTACTGATGCTTGTTTCAGGAAACACAGACCTGACACAGATAGCTTACTGTTACATTTTGAATGTCATGATGATATAACGTTTTCAAATTCCCATTTGCATGTCAGTGGATAAGTAAATTAACTTAGGTTTTAAAAATATTTGCTATAATTTTTTATCAAATTTATTTCGCACTATTACAAAATCTATTGCCCTGAAGAAAGAGTAATCAGAAGCTATTAAAATGTTTTTTCTTCATATATTTAGTTAAACAAAAGAATTGCCAGAAAGGGGAAAAAAGTCCTTTTCGAGAAATAAAGAACGCTTGAGAAAAAAGAATGAAAGCTGTTATGTTCAAGTTCGAACTGAAATTGTTTATTGACCTTTAGTTTTAAGTTAAGCTTATACGCACAGACACAGTAATTCTGGATTCCTGAAAACTGATTTAATTTAGCAAAAATATCTTGTGCGCGATCCGAACAAGATCTATACAAATTCTACACTATATGTATATAAGGAAAAAGGAAATCTGTGAAATTCTAAGGAGAAGCTAATTTGCACTTAAGCAGCAAAATTAATTAAAATATTGAAATTTTTATAAAAACCTTTTAGCATCGTCATGAAATGGTGAAATTTCTAACATAAAATAAGGTATACAAGAGGCAGTAATAAATTTTTTAAATCAAGTAACAAAACCAAACATGAAATAAAAAAAATTAATCATAAAAATTTTAAAAAAATTGAAAGAGTAAACTTATCTTTAATATTTCTAAAATAATAAACACTGCTTTATTCAATCTCGTGAGAGAGGAAAACCTGTCTAAAAACACTTTAACGATATTTCTGAATATATACAAGACAAAGCAGAATTTTGCCTCTAAAGAGATAAAGTATTAATTTAAACAATTGTAATAACCAAATTAAAATAATTGCGAAGCCTTATTTTAAATAATTATAATTATAAAAATTAAAATAATAACTTTTTTGCATATTAATATATGCTTGTACTTTTCATTCTTTCATGAGGATGGAAACAGATTTTATAGAAAAATTTAATATAAGGAAGCAAGAGCTTATATATATATTTAAACAAATTTAAATTCTTAACAAATACGTATAAAAGTAAAAAAGTAAAAAAATAAAATAGTAAAAAGTAAAAAAGGAAATTTAAATTCTAAAAAAAGGAAAAAAGCCAAAATAATTTAAAATAATTTTAAAATATGCAAACATGTAAAAGATTTAATTCTCGAACTAATCTACAATATCATTTAAATTCAGAAGCATAAGCAAATCAAGTTGTTTCATAAGAATAAAATTGAGTTTAATTAAAAAAAATTAAATTTAAATACATATTTAATTAAATATTCTTTGCGCCATTGCTGCAAGGAATGAAATTTAAATTTAAACAAATTTAAATTCTTAACAAATACGTATAAAAGTAAAAAAAGTTAAAAAAAAAAAAAAAAGTAAAAAAAAAAAGTAAAAAAGCAAATTTAAATTCTAAAAAAAGGAAAAAAAAAAAGCCAAAATAATTTAAAATAATTTTAAAATATGCAAACATGTAATATATATATATATGTTTCATAAGAATAAATTGAGTTTAATTAAACAAATTAAATTTAAATACATATTTAATTAAATATTCTTTGCGCCATTGCTGCAAGAAATGAAATTTAAATTTAAACAAATTTAAATTCTTAACAAATACGTATAAAAGTAAAAAAGTGAAAAAGTAAAAAAATAAAAAAATAAAAAAGTAAAGCAAATTTAAATTCTAAAAAAAGGAAAAAAGCCAAAATAATTTAAAATAATTTTAAAATATGCAAATATGTAAAAGATTTAATTCTCGAACTAATCTACAATATCATTTAAATTCAGAAGCATAAGCACTTGATTTGCTTATGCTTCTGAATTTAAATGATATTGTACTCGTAGATAGTTCGAGAATTAAATCTTTTACATATATATATATATTGTTTTAAAGTTTATATATTCATATATAAGGTTTATATATGTTTTAAGGTAACAAGTTATATAAGTTTTGTTATATAATATATAAGCACTTTTTTAAGGTCATATCTTCATATACAGTAAGACTCCGCTTAACGCTGTTTCGGTTTAGCGCTCTTTTATTTCAACCTCGGGATTCCCCGACATTGCTCGCAGCATGAACTACGGGGATTCCTCGAAATTGTGCGCAGCGGTAGGTTTCCAAATAACATATCCGAAACTTTGTAGTTATGTTTCTTGTTTGGTGCGGTGAGGTGCTGTACGGAAGCATTTTTATCATTTGAAACATTTGTTGGCATATAAATATAAATTTACATAATACTAATAATTTACATAATAATTCCTATTTGCATGTCAGTGGATAAGTAAATTAACTTAGGTTTTAAAAATATTTGCTATAAATTTTTATCAAATTTATTTCGCACTATTACAAAATCTATTGCCCTGAAGAAACTGAGTAATCAGAAGCTATTAAAATGTTTTTTCTTCATATATTTAGTTAAACAAAAGAAAAAGAATTGCCAGAAAGGGGAAAAAAGTCCTTTTCGAGAAATAAAGAACGCTTGAGAAAAAAAAGATGAAAGCTGTTTATGTCAAGTTCGAACTGAAATTGTTTATTGACTTTGAGTTTTAAGTTAAGCTTATACGCACAGACACAGTAATTCTGGATTCCTGAAAACTGATTTAATTTAGCAAAAATATCTTGTGCGCGATCCGAACAAGATCTATACAAATTCTACACTATATGTATATAAGGAAAAAGGAAATCTGTGAAATTCTAAGGAGAAGCGACTCTAACGATTAATACTAACGATTAATACAGTGACAAATATTATGATCTTTAGTTTTTATCATGGGTGATAATAAAAAAAAAGAAAAGAAAGCAACCAGAAAAAGCATTTCACTGGAAACTGAAAAGCAAGTGATTAAAGATTAGATTCTGGTGAGAGTCAATCTCAAATAAGTGCTGCATTGAATTTGGTAACTTCAACAATAAGGACAATTCTTAAGAATAAAGAAAAAAAATACTGTCATCGGGCAACTGCAACTACGTCGAGCTCTGCAACTAGAATTACCCGTTCTAGAAATAAACATTATAAAAAAGGAAATGGAAAAAAAAAAAACGAAGTCTATATGGATTGATGACGAAATTGAACGCAATATGCCATTAAGCCAATCTATCATAATGCCTTCTGACAAAAAAAGCCAGAAAAATTGGAAACACAGAATAGACTGAATGATCTGACTGGCTTAGAATTTTATTTGTTTTTATAAAATATATTCGTTTACATTGTTTTTATTTTTGTAAGAAATAAATGTTTGGTTTTATTTTTATTAAAAAAACATTATTAAATTTAATACCTAACCAATTTTCTATCCATCTTCCCCTAACTCCATTATTTACATGTTAAGATAGCCTCGTTTAGCGCTGTTTCGCATTACGCTCTACTTTGATGGAACGGATCCCCTGCGTTAAGCGGGGTCTTACTGTATAGGGTTTATAAATGTTTTAAGATATAAAAGTTATATAAGTTGTGTATATATAAGGATAATTTGCGCTAAAGTAGTATAATTACATTTTTTTCTTTTTTAAGATTTTAAGGTTTTGAGGGTCTGAAAAAAAGATATATACATGTAGTGAATACGTGCATAAATTATAAATAAGTATATATATATATACACAAAATCTGCACACATATAGATACCCAAATGTCCCGTTTCACATCCAAAATGAGCTCATAACTGATTTGTAGGAAATAAATCTGAACTGTATGTTGTACAATAATATCCAAGAACAAATAGTACTGATCCGGCAGTTTAAGTCTACAATATTCTGGAAATCATACTTTTCAGAAAACGTTTACCTGTCATCGTGATGGCGTATGCTAAAAAAGTGTGTATGTGTGTGTATGTGATTATGGCAAAGCCTCGAGGGCTATCTGCCTAAGAGGAGGGATGCCTTCGTGGAGGACTTTCTAAGGGAAACTGGCTCGTATACACGTTACACATGGGGAACACCACGAAAACGCCCATGCAGCCAGCCCGTTCGCGGGATTCGAACCTCGGACCGAACTACCAGTGTTCAGCGACTTTACCGCTCGGCCGCTGGTGGGCCTCGTATGCTAAAAAAGAAAAGCGTTTAAAGAATATTTCTGATTTTCTCTGTTGTATGGAACTGACTGGAGCGTATGTTATTGAAGTCATGAGCAATTTAGATTCCGCAATATTTAATTAAAAATGCAAATTTAATCAAAAGTATTCAACGCATATTAATTACAACGCAATATTGAACTAAAACCTTAAAACAAACGATGGTAAACATAAAATACTATGTACAGTTTCTTGCTATAAGGAACAGTATATCTAAATATTTTATATATACTCTTTTCTCTTATAAATATGACTTATAAAAATATAAATCCATGCATTATAGTCATACACTTCAGTTTAGGTCCAATTCATGACTTCTAAATCTCTTTACAATTTTTAAATTGTAAAGATATTGTAAAGATATTATTATTT